TACACACTGGAGCGATATCTGGAAATTTCACAGCACCTACCCAAGGATAAGGACCCCAAAAGCTTCCAGAAGGGGGAAAACAGAAAATTCACATTAAAAAAAAAAGTGAGCCACCAAGACACTGAAGACAGCAACACCGGGAGTCAGAAGAAAGGAAGTGATGCCTTCCAACTCTGAGGGGTGTGAACTTCCACCTGGAATTCTAAGCCATCAGCGTAAGACAGAGAAACATCCACAGACAGACATGCATTCAGAAATATGTTTCCCCTTTTCCTGCTGAGGAACCACTAAAAGGAAGGATGGGCGCCCTAACTGAGGGAGTAAGACAGGACCCAGGACGCAGAAAACGCAGTCCCAGGCTGGAGAAGGGTGGTCCATGCATGCACAGCCCAGCCACTGGCCCTGGGGGTGTGGAGGGCTCCAGGAGGCAGGTTCCAAGAGGGGGTGAAGCAGCCAGGTTAACGGGACCACTGCCAGCTGGGAGGAACCCCAGAGTGCAATCTCGGGTTTGGGACTGCGTTCATGATTGCAAACTGACAACTATGCAAATGAAGGCAGGCAGTTATTAACTCTAGGAAAAACAAAGCTGTCAAAATAGTAAAGAAAAACCTATGGACCACAGTTCAGGAAAAAAAAACATCACTCAAGTGGACTTCATTAAAACTAAACATTCTGTTCTAAAACTACTGTGATAAAAATAAAAGGCCAACGAGTCTGGGAGAAAATATTTGCGAAGTGGATCTGACAGAGCTGCTGCTGCTGCTAAGTTGCTTCAGTCGTGTCCGACTCTGTGCAACCCCATAGACGGCAGCCCACCAGGTTCTGCCAAGCACTTCTACCTAAAACACTCAATCAGAAGACAAAACCCCAACCAAAACAAGGGCACAAAGACCTGAAGAGACATTTCACCGAAGAAGATAAACAGCAAACGGCACATGAAAAGATGCCCGAAGTCATTAGTTCATAGATGTGGAAATGCCCCAAACTGGAAACAACCCAGATGTCCAACAACAGAAGAACATGTAAACAATAGGGCACATCCACACAGCAGAACCACTCGTCGTGAAGGCAGGATGGTCTGGAGGTGTGTGCAACACTGGGACGACTTTCAGAACAATCATGAGATAAAAGAGGCACAACTCAGAGAGCACAGCACACACTACATGGGTCAATTTATAGAAACTCCAGCAAATGCACGCCAAGTCTCAGGGTGGAACGCACCCTGAGAACGCACGACAGTGGTTGTCTGGAATGGGGCGGGCATGGAGCGAGAGAGGCAGGAGGTTTTCTGCGGGGCTGATCACTACCTGGGCAGATGTGCGCTCATGTCTGTCTCATCAGGCTTCCATTTCAGACCTGCTGTCCGCTGTGCTGTGGGCAGACTGTTCTGAGCTGAGGGTTCCCGCCAGCACCGTACAAAGGCTATATTGGGCACTGATTAAAGCAAAAGTTGTAACTGTTCTCTTGGGTGGGGAGAGAGGAGCAATATAAAAATGCTAAATCCAAATCCTCTAGAAAAAGATTCATTAAATAATGTCCAAAATTAAACAGAAGAAACAGCACAAACTTGCCTGTTTACACGTATGGAAGCAAACACAGGCAGACAATATGCAGGGCTGAGAAGTGGGCCTCAGGCATGTGGGGGGCAGGGGGACTTATTTTTAAACCCGCGTGTGTGCTGCTTTAATAAAAATTCAACCCCGACTGTGTGACTCAGCAGTTCCCCTTCCAGGGATATATGAAGTGTCCACACACATTTGTACTGCCTGCTGACACCAACAGTACTGATACTGGTCAAAATGTGGAAACAGCCCTGATGTTCATCAGCTGGGGAATGGAATAATACTCCCTTGTGTGGACAAGGGAGTATTATTCAGCCATAAAAAGAATGGAGCTGACACATGCTACAACACGGATGCACTTCGAAGACACCCTCTTCAGCTAAAAGAAGCTGGAGACAAACGGGTCACCAAGGGTCAGTGCTTGCTTTCTTCTGTGTGAAACGTCCAGGCAAAGCCATGGACATAGACACCAGGCCAGCGGCTTCCAGATGCTGGGGGAGGGGGAGTGACTGCTAACAAGGATGGCCTGCATTTCTGGGATGAAGAAAAGTTTGGGAATGAGACAGCTATGATGGGTACACAACTTCCTGAAAACACTAGAAAACACAGAGTTGTACACTTTCAGTGGTAACCGTATAGCATGTGAATTATGTCCTGATAAAGCTGTTACCTAAAGAAAAAAATGGAGCAATGATGTGAGAAGAAAGGCACGCTGGTCTCTGCCTCCCCCCCAACTTCCTGATATGGAGCTCCTAATCCCGTTATCTCCTGGTGATAGCAATGTCCTTTGTTCCAGAGGACACTCTGCCTGGGCTCCTGGATGGGGGCTGGTCACCAGGAAGACCCAGCCACAGCCAGCATCAGAAGTAGAGGCCCCACCCCATCCTCTAGGTAAGGGGCTGGAGGCTGAGCTAACAACTGCTCATGCCTGCAAACTCCTTAAACACGGGGTTCAGATAGCTTACAGGGTGGTGGACACACCCACGTACTGGGAGGGTAGGGCACCCCAACTCCACAGGGACAGAAGCTTCTGCACTCGGCACCCTCCCAGACCTCGCCCTGGGCATCTGCTCCTCTGGCCGCTCAGCTGGGTCCTTCATGACATCCATAAGACAGTAAGCCTGCCCCTGAGTTCTGTGAGCTGTTCCAGCACAGAGCCAGACCCGAGGAGGGAGTGGTGGGAAGCCCGTTTGTAGCCAAATTGGACAGAAGTATGGGGAACCGGGGACCCTCGACTTGTGCCGGCCTCTAGGGTTGGGGGGGGGCAGTCTTTCAGGATGAGGGTCTGCACTGACACCAGGGAGATGGTGTCAGAAGTGAGCTGAGCTGTGGGAACCCCGGCTGGGGTCCTCAGACACTGGAGGGCTCGCTGGTGCTGGAAAACCCACATCTGGTGTCAGAACTGTCGTGAATGGAGGAAACAGGGTCTCCCCTTGGCTGGCGCCTTCCTGGACACACACAGTGGGAATTCCCATTTGGTGACAGACCCCATGGACCACAAGCTCCTAGAGAGATTTCAAGAACCCACAAGTAAACCAGAAGTTCCCAGATTCAGGCCGGAGCCCGGACAGCAAATAGACTGGTAGGAGGAGGGATGTCCCTCCCGCAACGCCCAGTATGGCCCCCACCCCCTCCACGAGCAGACTTCATGGCAGGAGCCTGTCATCCACTCACCAGGCCTGCTCTAACAACCCCCAAGGACTTCGGCGAGGGGAAATTTGAGAATCTCACACAGATTTGCACATGTCCACCCTCACACTCTGGGGTGTCTCCTCCCGGCCACCACAATCAACCGTGATGAAAGCGCCCCTCTCACAGACAGGAGTTGTGTACACACACACAGGCTCACACTCAACACCCAAACTTCCTCTGAGGAGCCATCGCTGGGAGGTACAGGAGCACCAGGCGGGGCCCACAAGTGGCCTCTGAGCTCAGAGCCGGCTGGTTTACAGCCACGACTGGTCCCCAAGGAGTTCAGGCCTCCATCCACCCAACACGTCATCAGCCAGGCCAAGCCTGCAGGCCTGTCGTCCAGGGCAGGTTGGCTCGGCGTCCCCAAGAGGCCACGAGGGTCCCTCTAGAGCTACAGAGGGCTTCCCCGCTGGCTCAGTCAGTAAAGAATCCACCTGCAATGCAGAGACCCGGTTTGATCCCTGGGTCAGGAAGATCCTCTGGAGAAAAAAATGGCTACCCACTCCAGTATTCTTCCCTGGAGAATCCCAGGGACAGAAGAACCTAGCAGGCTACAGTTCACAGGGTCTCGAGAGTCGAACACGACTTACCAACTAAAGCAACACCACCTAGAGCTGGAGAGCTGGAGACCAGCCAGCTCTTTAAACACTGAAGGCCCACATCCAGGTGAGCAGAGCCCAGACCCCATGAGGAGTCTGGCCCTGGCCACTCATTCTGCCTGCCCTCGTCTCCACGGTGGCCAGCCCCTGCTCCCAGCCCAGGAAGGTCCCGGAGTTGCTTTGGTTTTTACACTGGCCTCAGGGAAACCCAGACGCTGCTGCTGCTCTGCCAGGGTGGCAGTCAACACACACAGCAGGCCTGCCAGGGACGGCGCTGACTCAGGGCCGGGACGGTGGGGCCAGCTGGGCCACCGTGTCCTCAGACAAGGGAGGGGCAGAGGGTACCACAAAGCCCTGTGGTGGACTGGCCTAGCTTCCAAGGCAGGATGGTGTGAAAAGTCTGAAGGTGGACAGCTGGCGAGAGTGGGCGGGCTCTGCTGAAGACCATGTGATGGGCAAGACGCAGGCACCTCTGGGAGCCAGAATGATTGGGCACACAGAGAAACCAAATGCCCTCCAACCTGCCAAGAACCTGGGGTTGCTCTGAGGAGCCCATGGCTCTTTACATTCCACATCGTGTGCCTCGATTATAAAAGAAACATGAGCTCCTGTTGGAAAGGTGTCAAACACAGAAAAAGTGGAAAGAAAAGAATCACACCCAGAAACTCCACCTGTTAAGCTTCTGGGGTCTCCATCATGAGATAAGCATGCTCCCAGAGTATTTTTACCAAATCTGGTCACACCATGCCAAGGTTTTGTATTTTTTCTCACTAATTTTTACACCAGAAACGTTTAAGCATACCATCAAAGGCCATCACCTGAGTCCACCTTTTCACATGGCTCCTCTATGCCAGCCAATTTAAGTTTTGCCACAAACACCTATAAATGTGGATCTGCCCGTCTCCTCATCCCCAAACCACGCTTCTAAGGGGACCTGGAGCCGCCCGATGCACCCTATGCACCCCACAGCCCTCACTAGCTCCGAGGGCAACTATCGTCTATCAGTTTAGGAAGTCTTTTCTTACTGGACAGGGAAAACACAACCCCAAATGAAAGAAGGACCAGACACAGGGTGGGGTCCCTGATCTGCCTGGGGACATCCGACCTCAGGGACCTCCGGGGTCTCTGCCACGTTTCAGGGTCTTACCGAGTTCTTTGGAGCCCTGGCTCTCACTGGCCAGCTCGCCCATCTTCACCAGAGCGTCAAAATAGCCTTTGGCAGCATACGTCACACCTGAGAGAGGAGAGGAAGGGGTGGTTACTTCCCTCATGAGGAAATTACCACCTGCAGCACCTACTTGGCCACCCTGCCCGCCTGCCACGCAGCTGCCTCCCCTGCGCCCAGCAGGCTCCAGCCGGGGCAGGACCTCCGCCCGTCTCTTGTTGACGTTCTCTTGTCCCAAAGCTGAGAGCACCTTCTCTAAGGACACAGTGTACTGTTCAGGTCCAGAGTTAATCCAGTCAAATTACAGGGTGCCACCCTGACCACAAGGCCTGGTGTCCCTGACGAGACGAGCACCAACCTCCGGGTGGAGACCTGCGAAGTTGCTTCGACAGGAAGACCACCCCCAGCCAGCCTGGGCTAAGGGCTCTGACAATGTCCTGTGTCTCAGGGTTGAGCTGTGCAAGTGGGAGTGAGTCACACACTCAAATCAGGATAAAGGCAGCAGGCTGGGGGTGGGGGGCGTGGCCTCACACACCACCTCCCACGGCGACTTCTGCTCAAACGACTTCTGCTCAAACCAGAGGCAGACCTGACTTTGCGGGGGATTTCGACGGCAAGCTCCAAGCCAACTGACTTCCTGGGACCAAGCCCGGGGGCTGCTGCCCAGGACAGAGCTTCCTTCAGGAACTCAAAAGACCCTTCAAAAACCTTGGGAGTGTCTACAAACCCCTTCATTGGAGGAGCCCCCTCCACACCACCCTTCAGGCTGGAAGGAGAAAGAGGGCACCTCCAGAGTGGGGCCGTGGGGAGCAGCCACCATAATTACAATTTCTAATCTGTTTTCTCCAGAATCCAGTTAGGGGCTTATAACTGGGCACTCGATCAAATTTTATTTAGGTAGTTTTCAATTAACTGCGCGCAATCGGGAGCTTGTGTGGGCTCCGTGCCCCAGGGGCTGGAGTGCCCGCTGCTTGAGCAGGGTGGGCTCCTTGGAAGAGACAACAGGAAAGCCTAGAGAGTCCCGGCCTGGCCTTGGGGAGGCCGAGGGCCGTTGAGGGGCTCCGTTCCTTGAGGAGGTCCAGGAAAACAGGGAGGGGAGGACACCAGACCTCCTCCCACCCCGGTCCACACAGAACTCACTGGGGGGGGGGGGCAGGGGGTGAGGATGAGAGGCCTGGAAGGAGGCGTGTGCCTCACATCCAAGCAGCTAGGGCATGTGAGCAGGAGCCCAGGTGGGCCATGATGGGTTCCCCCAAGGCAAACAACCTGCGCGGCGGAGAATGAAGTGACGTCACTCCGAGAGAAAACCCATGGGGGTGAGACATGTCCTTGGATGTTTCTTTCAGGAAATGAACCACTATCGGCCTGAAATGTGCTGGCTGACCCACTCACTTCCAGAGTTGGCCCCGTGTCCACGGTGTGCACAGAACATCACGGGCCTCCGTGGTGCGGCACCTATGGCCTACACCCTTGCTCAGCCACGTCGGGCTTCTGGAAACATCTTTGTCCCTCTCTCATCAGGGCCTGTGAAGCTGTCCACCTGCTCAGACATCCTCACTCCCACCAGCAGGCCTCACCTGCCAACGCCTTCTCGTAATTCTTGCCCATGGCGATGAAGTTCCGCAGGCTGGGGTTGAACTGTTCCATGATGGTCTGGAAGAGAGCAGAGAACAGCATTAGAGGCAAGACACCTGGCCGCTTGGAGGCCTGAATGGTGAGGGGAAAATCACGCAGGCATCATACGTTGGTCGAGCCCACGAAGCCACAGCCGGGCTTCGGGTCCAAACTGCAGCTCGGTCCCTGCTGAATGTCCTCTGGCAAGTGATGTTCCAGAGCCTCAGTACCAACATCTGTACAATGGGGGAAAGGCCAGAACCTGCTCCATCAGGGCCTGGCAGATCAAACAAGTGAGCATGTGCAAGACGCGTGGGGCCGTGCCTGGCATATAGCTGGCACTCAGACACGCTGCGCTGAGGAGCCATTATCCCGTCTGGCAGGGCTGAGTCAGTGAGGAAGGCCCCCCAGCAGGCCACACACAAAAGGCTCATCGCCGCCTGGAGCCCCCTCCCACCACGATCTTCACTCAACACATCAATTACCAAACATCAGCTCTGATTAGAGCAACGCGCAGCCTGATTGCAAACACCGCACGATGAATAAGCCAGCAGCTCTGGATCCGTGCACCCGATGGACTCAAGTCTTGGTGCCAACAGCACCAGTTCTTAGATTGAAGAAATCAGATTTTCACTGCGAAGGCCAAATAAATGTTTTAATTACGAGGCATTAAAAACAGGCGCACACAAACAACAGCCAAATGTGAGCTCCACTGGGTAATGTGCCCTGACGGTCGGGTGCCAGCCCCAGCCAGCAAGAACACCACAAGGTACTTTTAAGGAAAACCCTGTCTCAGTCACATCCCACATCTCCGGGTCAGTTATTGTGATGTGTGTCTGATCTTCCCTGAGTGTAAGACAAACGCTGCCAAGGAGGGGAAGTCGCCTGACCCTGTGGACAGACCATGGAGGCCCAGGTGCTTCTACATGAACATGGGCAGTGCCAACCCCTGCCCACCTGGCACACAGGCAGTCCCAGCCCCGCTCTCCTCCATGTTCCTGGCCCTCAGTCAGCGGGACCAACACAGATTCCAAGGAGGGCTGTGGGATCACACCCAACATGCGCCCCAATTCACAGGGCAGGTGCACCTCCCTTTCTGGACAAGGCAAAGGGATGGGCACCTGCCATGTGCTGCAGCAGGGCTGAGGCACACGGGGGACACAGCAGTGACCCAAAGGACCAAGTCCTGGGAGGGGAGACAGGCCCACGTCACACACTGGGCAGGATCCCACGCCCGGAGAACAGGAGGGAAGGACACAGCTCAGCCCAGAGGGAACACAGGGGAGGGAAGCATGCTGTCGACAAAGGAGGGCTTCAGGCAGGTGCGTGTAAAGGCCCCGAGGCCAGGGCCAGCTGGTGTCAGGCACAGGATGGCAGGAGCCAGGGAAAGGGTGGTGGGAGGGAAGAACAGGCAGAAGTGGTGCCGTAATGGCCAATCCCCCAGTCTCACAGACCGTGGTGGGGACGCCTCTTTCTCTGAACATGATGGGAAGCCAAAGGCCCATCCGATACATTTCAAAAGGAAATGTACCTCTTGGCTGCTCAAAGGAGACCAGATCGTAGCCAAGACTACTCAGATGCAGGCCACCCCTCAGAGCTGCTCAGAAACCTAAGAGGTGAAGGTTCAGTGGAAAGTTGGCCCCATCACAATGAGGGACGGAGCTCAGTGGTCTGGAGACCACTTTGGTGGAGAACCTGGGTCTAGATTCATCCAACCCAAGGAGAGCCTTGGAGTCAGGGCAGGGTGTCAGGTAACAGGCAGTGGACGAGGGACTGGCATCCAGGAAGGCTGCGGAGGGGCCCCAGGTTAGACTGTCTGATAAGGGTGCACGCACAGGCTGGCTGAGCCCTCCGCCTCGCTGCTCAACACCACCCGAACCTGTGTCGGGGCAGAGAAATGCTGGCGGGTGCATGTGTTTGTTTGTCCAAAGGAAATGGACCCGAAGCAGAGTATAGACCTAGTGAGGGTAGCTTCTGACCTCGACTCTGTGTTCCAGACGTGCACACAAGTGAGTGTGTATGTGTGTGTGTGTATGCATGCAGTTTCAGTGTAAGATGTGTCTCACTGCAGTGATAGGCATGGAGCTGAGACAGAGCCCTGGGGTGGGGGGCCTGTGAGAGCCGACCCAGGGTGCAGAGCTCTAGGACCACCCTCAGGGCAGAAGAGGAGGCTCCGCAGCTCCCACCCGGTGCCCCAAACATCCTGAGTGACAGCAGAAAACAGCCTGCAGGCGCCCAGGCCAACAGAAGGGGTCGCCGCAGCTGCCCGCCCACACCCACCCAGTGCCACATGGGGACAGCCGCCAGGTTTCGCTTCCTCAGTGCAGGAGCTGAGCTCATGCACGAGGAATGTGGGTGCGAGGGGGCAGGGCAGGAGGGGCGCTGGGGTGCTGGCCAGGCCACCTGGGCAGGGCACCGCCTGCTCACACAGGTGCTGCTGACTCGCCGGCCTGAGGCAGGGGCAGCGACCTAAACGCTGTGGCGCTGGGGAAGCAGGAGGCCCTCCCGCCCTGGCCGGAGAACTGTCCTTCCTTCCAGCTCCTCACAGACACCGCCCTGGTGGGAGAGCGGGCTCCCAGCTGCCTCCAGGTCACTGAGTGCTCAGAACTGCGACCACCAGACACAGGCCAGGTCCAAGACCACCTTATCCAGAGGGACCCTGGAGGCCTGAGAAGGGCTCAGCCCCTCTGGTGGGGCTCCTCCCTGTGGGGTCCTCCCTGTGGGAGGGGCCCTCTCAGAGCCCAAGCCCAAGGCTGTCCCAGGGCTCAGGCAGACGCTCTTGGACCCAGGAAGCCATGCTGTCCCCAGGTCCATGACAGGCCCAAACCTACCCTCAGAGACCTGCAGTGGGGCCCTGGCACCCCCACTGCAAGTGAGCGCTCCCCTAACTAGGGGCCTGTGCAGCCCCTCCACACATTGCAGGGCCCCGGAGGGGCAAGTCAGAGGCCAACAGAGGCCCGGTGAGCAGGCCAGGAAGGCCCCGGGGCTCCGCTACCTGTTACTTTTTCAGAAGTCAGGGAACGATGGCGTCATTCTGTGGGACTTCACTGGAAGGATGGAGGGAGTTGAGATTCAAACCCACAGCACATGCCAGGGCTGGAGACGGGAGCTCGCTTCCTTACTGATGCCAAAGGGCGTGTGCAACCGAAGTCCAGGCCAGGAGGGCGGCCTCCTCGCACACACCTCTCTGTACCATGAGGCCAACCTCATCCCTGTTGTGGAACTCGGGGGCGCTCAGGAGAGGCCCTGCACCAAGATCACTTCCCTGCAGCCAGGACAGAGACCCAACGACATGGGCAATGACCAGCGCCTTCTGCAAACTCATGCCTGTGCTGCGCAAGTAAGACCAAACCCCTTCAAGTGTGGCACTGTGGCACACGGCGACCAGGCCTGCCCCCTCGCAGGGGTCCTGGGCTGAGTACCATGTTCAGAACCAGCATCTTCTTTTACTTACTCCCTGGCTGGCTCAGGATCTATAAGGTGCCAGCAGGAAGCAGGCCTGCCACAAGGGCTCCCTGCCACCCCCTCTGCACACACGCTCCAGAAGGGTCAGGAAGAGAAGGGGTCCCTGCTAGAGACACTTGCGAACTTGGCGCAATTCCTGGTGGCCCTCTTGCCAAGATGTCACACAGCCCATGTCCCTGCCACCCTGCGGTCCCAGGAATCCAGGCCTTAAGGCAAATCTAAGGCAGGGTCAGCCCTGCCCCCACCTGGGGCCCCCCAGCCCTGCATTTCTATGGGCGTCAATGGGAGGGGCCAGGCCCGGCTGCATGGGCAGCGTTGGCAGGTCCCCAGCAGCATTCCTGCCCGGCTAGCTCCTGGGCATCCCAGCGCCTGCGCAGTGACGCCGTTTTGACTGACTTGGGTCACAGGTCTGCCCGGCCAGTGAGGACAAAGGGCAGCAGGACAGCCCCATCTCCACCTTGGGGTCACAAGGAGTGAGGGAGCTCTGCCAAGGGACTGTGCTCCGGCTGTGCCCGCGTCCAGGGTCCCCTGCTTGCCATCTTGGGGATCCTGTTTATCCCTCAGCTCTGCCTCCTGGTGACAAACCCCTCCAAAACTCTCCTGGCAGGACCGCCACAAACAAAGAGCAAAGCTTCTCTGCTCAGGGAAGTGACGTGCCTCCTGTTTCCCCTCCAGTTCTCGTGCAGTCTAGGAAGACGGGCCCCAGGGGTCCGCCTGCACCCCATGCACACGTGCACGTGTGTGCACGCGTGGGTGTGTGCATGTGTGCTGCGGTCAAGCCAGGCTGCACCCTCCCTACACACTCAATCTTTGGAAGGACAAACTCAGGCAATGAGACCACACTGGACTCCACCAGTGGCCTGGGAGGGGGGGCCTTACACCCTTATCACCCTGAGTCCTCACTGGACTGGTGATGGGTGCTGCTGTCCACTTTACGGATGGACAGGAGGAGGTTCAGGGAGGCTAAGAGCTAGTCTTCTGGGTCCTGGTAGAGCCAGTCCCAGCTTCAATGCAGGTTGGCCACACAACCCAGCTTGTCCCACTCTCCATACGGGCCTTAGCGTTCTCCAGACGGGCCGCCAAGGCAGGCAGGATAGAACCTGGTGCCACCCGGCAACTCGGCCTGCTGTGGGCTCCCTTAGGAGCCACGTTCTAGCAACATAAGGGCAAAGGCTGATGTCAGGACACCTGGTGCCTGCATCATCCACTCTCCCAGACACACATCCTCAGCCTCCAAGGGGCCTGACTACTCCTGAGCACTGGCCCACACATCCTACCTCTGTCACAGGCAGAACAGCCACCAGCTTTGGGGCCAACAACCCACACCCGGTTGGGTGCCACCATCCACACTCTGCTGGGGAAAGCTGGCGGCATTCCTCAAAGGAGGCTGTCCTCGCCTGAGGCTGCTGCCCCCCACTCCAGAGCACCAACTGCGTGAGGCTCTGGGCAGAGGGCCCGGCTCACACTGAAGGAGGGGTGGGGTGAGAGGGGCATGAGGGATCACCCTCCTGAGACAGAGAGCCTGGCCTCTTGGGGCAGTGCTGCGTGACTCCCGCCTCTGCTCCCCTACGATC